TGATTTTAAAGTACTTTTACTTGTTTATAAATCACTCAAAGGCCTAGGACCTAAATACATTGCGGATATGCTCGTTGAATATAAAACGAACAGACCACTCAGTTCATTAGGATCGTGTCAGTTAGAAACACCAAGTGTTCACTCAAAAGAAGGGGAGTCCGCTTTTAGCTATTATGTCACCCTCAGTTGGAATCAGTTTCCAGAAGAGATCAGACGTGCTACAACATTAGCTCCATTTAAATCCAGACTCTTTACTGAATGAGCACTGTGCCAAGTCCGAACTGGTTGCACTGTATTTTATGTATAGCCAAATGAGCACTGTGCTACGTCCGAACTGGTTGCACTGTATTTTATATATAGCCATTTTCTAATCTTTTAATTAATTTTTAAATCAATTTTTAAATCATTTTAAATTCCCTGTTGTGATTATTATTATTTGTTATGATTATTTTACTCCCATTTATGTAAAGCACTCTGAATTACCATTGTGTATGAAACATACTATATAAATAAACATGCATCGCCTTGCCTAACAGTCCTGGAAATCAAACAATTGTCTTTTACCCCATTCTGGAGAATGTGTGTTGTGTTAGACAGGGTGCTTCATGACCCAAAAGGGTATGTTTGTTGTGTTCTCTACCTCCACATGTCTTCATCTCATTGACCGTAACTAGTATTTAGGATGACCAGGACTTAGGCAAGGCGATGCATGTTTATTTATATAGTATGTTTCATACACAATGGTAATTCAGAGTGCTTTACATAAATGGGAGTAAAATAATCATTACAAATAATAATAATCACAACAGGGAATTTAAAATGATTTAAAAATTGATTTAAAAATTAATTAAAACAGTTAAGATTAGAAAATGGTTATACATAAAATACAGTGCAACCAGTTCGGACGTAGCACAGTGCTCATTCAGTAAAGAGTCTGGATTTAAATGGAGCTAATGTTGTAGCACGTCTGATCTCTTCTGGAAACTGATTCCAACTGAGGGTGACATAATAGCTAAAAGCGGACTCCCCTTCTGTTGAGTGAACACTTGGTGTTTCTAACTGACACGATCCTAATGAACTGAGTGGTCTGTTCGTTTTATATTCAACGAGCATATCCGCAATGTATTTAGGTCCTAGGCCTTTGAGTGATTTATAAACAAGTAAAAGTACTTTAAAATCAATCCTAAATATAACTGGAAGCCAGTGTAAGGACCTGACGACTGGTGTGATATGCTCAGATTTTCTAGTTCTAGTCAGAATCCTGGCAGCAGCGTTCTGGATGACCTGCAGCCGTCTAATGGTGTTCTTGGGAAGGCCGGTGAGGAGACCGTTACAATAGTCAACCCTGCTGGTGATAAAGGCATGAACAAGTTTCTCCAAGGCTTGACTGGAAACAAAACATCTAATTCTTGCAATGTTTTT